TTGATAAATGGAAAGTAGCAATTTCGGTAAACACCATACAAAGCGCAGGTATTATGGAATTAAAATATATTCTCGTGACTGGCAGGAGACAATCACCCGGATCCCTATATGCCCCAGAACTTCATATTCCTTATAAATACTAGGTTCCGGTAACGAATGAAAATATTATAGCTAAGATTTCATATTTAGACAAAATAATGTGTGAACATACAGAACAAATGGTTATCTCAGAAGCTCTTCAGGAGGTCTTCGGTTTAATTTTGGTTTAATTTGAGCCCCCCCCCCCCCCCGCCCATACACACCATGAATTTCATTGGTTCGTTGTTTGTTTTACATATTCCACTAATATTCCTTACTATTTGTGATGGGTATTGTGCTGAGTTAGATGTATAGTCCTGTATATCTTATCATCTGTTCATAAATACGTGTGAATATGGCATCATGTCACTAGGAAATAAAAACATCACAACCTTTTCTTCCTTCTTATTTCTTTCAAAGCCATAGCCGGGTTTATGATAGTCACTTAAAAGCTTTTGGGAGGCGGCAAGCGTTTTAATATGTCATCTAATTATAAAACCCAAAGTTATTGTTTGGTTTTCAATGATTTATTGCATTCGTCAAGTTTAAGAGGTGAGAAAGATCAACATTATCTTAAGGGCTAACTTAACAAGGGTTGGTTGTTGGTAGATAATGATATATCACCCAATTGTAATATTGCCGTTAGCTAAGTGATTGACACGTCAATACTTATATGATAATAATATAATGAGTGTATAGCACCATACGGTATGACAAACTATATTGGTTCGATACTTATTAGATCTTTTAATTACTGTCGGTTAATAGGGGATTTAATCTCATTTCATCGTGATTAAACTTATATGTCCAGATGCAGAATTTGACCTTTCAGTTTTTAATTATGTAATAAAAACGGTTATAAATTTATAAGGTCATATCAGCAGTTTTCTATGCTGTACGCGGGGAGGGAGGGGGGATGGTTAGCGCGTGCGTGTTGTATTATAAGGCCTGTCATTGAGTCAGCTGGTGTGGTTTCGATTTCCCAGTTGTAGTGACAAGGAGTAGGGTCGCCTGTCCAACCTCGTGGGTTTTCACCGAGTTCTCCAGTTTCCTCCCACTGCTACGGACCCCTACGCGCAAGCGAAATATTGAAATAAAATTAAACCATATGTTAGTCCCGAAATGACCTAGTTTATGTCGAGTGGACGTTAAAACCCATTTCTCTCTCTCTCTCTTCCCCCGTATGCTGTACTTACATGGGGTGGGGGTATAATATTTATGGATTTAGACCTACAGTCTATCTATGATCCATTCCGACTTAGTCAAAGAAGAGCCTTCAATAATTTTCAAAGTGCATTATCCCTTGCAAGTGGTAACTGAACTCTGCATGACAAAGAAAGCAATTCTAATCTTTCTGATGGCACTAAAATTATATAAGTTTATAGTGCACTTTGATACAGGGTTGGAATTTGAAGATGGCTTGTTGGACGCGCCTCTGATCGTTCAAAAATACATATTATTTATTCTCATTTGTAAATGATCTGCGAGATATTAACTCCAAAGACAGCAATATAGTTTTCAAAAGTATGTGACACATATGAATATGTTTGTCTTCATCTCAGACCAGTAATAATATAGACAATACGATCTGTTCAGCACTGTTTCAAAGTCAAGCAAACTGTTAGCAGTTAGAACATAAAATCTAACAATACATTAATACGTCACTATAAAATTACAGTAATTGGTACTTGACTAGTTTTTACACCTTTTTGATTGAGTATCATAACCCGGTTTAATATATCAACTATCATGCAAATTTGTATTCAAGTATCCTTCGTGACACGATAAAGATAACGTATACTACAATACTAATATTGTATAAATATATAGACAATAAACTAAAACAATAGATTGACAGTATTGTTATGAAACAATAAGGGTACGCATGATGTTTGACCAAATAGTACAAGGAAATGTATTACTAAGAATGTATTTTTGTTTTTATTTTTTGAATAACATAAATAAGTTAGATAATAAAAAAAATAAGCAGTTAACATAATATAATTTATTTTTTTATATCTAATTATATGTTTGTTTATATTAACAATTGTTTTGGCTATAAAACAAATATTGTGACATAAGTGTAAGTATACCGTTTATGATAATGAACTAGAATGTTATTAACAGGTAATTAAAACATTACAGAATTGATAACAAAGACATTCCGTGATTTTACACACACCTATAATTTCAACTGCGAAAGTTGCCATTTGAAACTATAAATTTGTAATTCTACAGATCATAAAAAATTGTGGGTTAGTTGACAATCTCCAGAAACAAAAAAAAAACGTGGGATAAAATCCCCAAATTTCAATGTTGTTGTTTTTTCTTTATTTTAAATGGTTTTTGATGGTCTTAAAATATGTAACCCTAACTGAATAAACATTAACAATGGTAAAAAGACATTATGATTTTACACTCAAGCTGGTCTAATTTTTTAATTTTTTTAAATTTTTTTGTTCTTCTTTAATTCAATAGAAGAAAAACACCAAATTTGAACAATCTCCCTTCTATGCATAGACTTTCTAGGTTGATGTTTGGGAATTTCAAACTATGTGCAAGTTTCGGCTGTATAAAATGAATAACTGACATATTATTGATTTCCAACTCTGACTTGGATTCCATATTACACTTTAAACATGAAATATGCAAATGTTTCAACATAGCGGGTTTATTAAAAATGACGAAGAGGTTTTATTGAATAAACAAAAGAAGCGTTATACATTTTTTTTTTACAGATAAGATTGAATGTTATTGCAACCCGTATAAATGTTCCATTTTATATTGGTGAAAATATAGTCAACGTATTAGAGAAATTTCTCCTATATCCATTTAAGAAGTTGGGGCTATAGATTTGTAAATTGTCCGACCGGCTTATAAAAAATTATCCTATAAGCAACACGCGAAGCTACCATTACCATTCTGTCTCAACCCAACCAACTCGCCTCTTCGCCCCACTCCCTTTTAGTTACACCACCACTGAAAGGAGAATTACCAAGATGTGTTTGGAAGCAGTAGACATGAGCCAATGATTAGGAATTGTTGGTTCTCAACAAAAGGATTGCCTTTACAATGATAAATATTAATACGTAATTTACTGTGTTTTATTTTAACCAAAATATCGGATTATTAGAACACGCGTGGTTCTTACTAATCTTTGTATACAGTAAAGCATCGACATTTAACTTAATGATTTTAGGCTGTGAATTTTCAGCCAGATACCTGTTTTGGTCGATGAGGACACCCTTTGCTTCAAGGGGAATAAAATAAAATCGTGAAATATAAAAGAGAATAGAAGATGTTTAAACATATCTTGCTTCAAGGGGAATAAAATAAAATCATGAAATATAAAAGCGAATAGAAGATGTTTAAACATATTAAGTTAAGTAGCTAATCTTCTTCTGACATCAAATGGTGACAATCTATCTTTTACCATGATCCCATTAAATCTAGTTTTGAAAAAAGGCAAATAATAAAAAGCTATTTAAATGAGGATATCACTCTCTAACTTTAAACAACTTATGTCAATAAAAAATACAGGGGTTATTTTGAGCCTCTTTATACACCTCAGGGGGGTCATTTAGATTATCTGTATACAAAGGTCACCGTTAATCTCATTAAATAGGTTTTTATTAGCCGATTTCCCCACTGAAAACTAATCCAAAAATAAATTTTGATGAAAAAATAAAACTAAGTTAGAATAGGTTATGTAAATATCATAATTAATATTATTTACCTTTCACAATGAGTAAATACTAAAATTTAATTTCTCTGTTAGCTGTAAATATTTAACCTTCAAAGAAACTGTATCTTCAAAAAATTCGTAGTACTTAAAATAAGTCTTTCGTTTGATCTTCTAACATTAGTACAAACACTGGATTTAGATGTTACTGTTTTGTGAAGTCCATACTCAAAACGTTATTGCCAATGGCTTAGATTAATTTAGTTTTGAGATAATTGTTATTTGGAATAGTGCGCAAGGAGATGTGAGGAATAGCGACAACTCCCAACTGCAGACAAATTATAAATACAATGCGCTTCCATTTGGGAAGATGCCATGTCAATTACTTGAAAACTTTCATTTATTTCATGAGAAAAATATTCTTCTCAGAACTAAAGCCTCCTCGATATGAATCCTATGATGTGCAGATGTGCAGACATTATCAGCATTACGAAACACGGATTCACATAGACTTAAAATATTAAGGAATAATGCTAAGGCATACATTCAGTATATCCGTGGACATAACAAGTATAAACAGTGCTTTTCACTAAAAGGAAACACGTCTAATGGTTTGTCATGGGAAACAAATGGTCATTTTTTAATGGGGCGGAGGTAGGGGGCCTTTTTGGAATAAAAATATGTAATTAAAAATTAAATCTTACAATTATATGTTATTATTATGTTGTGAATAAGACGAAAGCGTATCATTAACTACAGAATAACCGTTCATTTATTTCATATATCATAAAATCTAATTTAAATGAAATATATGATGTTCACGGGTATATTCATATCGATTTTTCACTCTAAAACTGTAACAGCTGGCTACACGTATTTATTCAGCATGCAATTGCTGGATGTCAATTTTATTTTATTATTTTTTTTTTTTGAAAAGGCAGTTAAATAACTGACTATATAGTGTTCAGAAAATTGCAAAATCGTAAATACTGTTAGGGTCGGTTATATTCTCAAGAAACCTTCTTACGGTCTAATCTTATAAAAACTTCCAATAAGTCACATGGTATTTGTTTATATTACGATCGAGTTGTAATTCAGATCCCGAAATAGACAGCAGTTAAATAGCTGTCAATCACATACCCAGGTGTGAAAATTGTCCCCGCCTTTCAATTAAATAGGGCGACCAGTCGCCACCCTGCATTATGTTATAATTTAGAAACAACAGACCGTCCATTACAGTCAGAGAGAAAGTTGTAAGTTCTAAACATATTGAAAGTTATGTTAGATTGCTTTTACCAGCTGTGACACTCAGTGCAGTCAGTTTACCTGAGCCGAAAAGTTGCGTGCGCACCACAGGTAAATTTCATTCACCGCCACGTTCCGCGCTGTTGGCCAATGAGCATTCGAAGTTGACGAAAGACGAGTAAAGGATCCATGCCGTTGAGAGTTGGAGCAAAACATTCGTCAACTCGCTCAGGTGAATCACACGGATAAATAGTTTTACCGGGGCCCAAGTGAATAATTTAGTTATGGCCGTTTCTTATTTGGTGGCCCTGTTTTGTGCCTCAGCGGGGAAAAATGGCGAAGAACTTGGATCGGATGAGGAGCAAGTTATACTTTTTGTGTACCTGTTATACGATGTGACTAATAATAAGGTAAGTTAAAACTGTATACTGATCGCCACACCTACTCCATATGGCTAAAACACACACTAAGTTTTAAAACTCTTATTTAAAGGGGACATTTTCTTGTGATAAGATTTTTGCGGGTGGGATAGTGACAAGTTAAGTATAGACATAACAACACATAACATGATCGCTAATTTGCATATATTACATATATACTTTCTTTGACATTTACAGGTAGTCGCATTGCAACAACATTATGTTAAACCACAGCCAAATGAACTTTCGGAGACTGTTCTAACAGAAGAATGCAAAACAGAAACTGGTTTAGATGAGAATATGATCAAGAATGGACAGCCTCTAGATCATGTTTTAGAAGAGGTAAACATTTGAATTCACATATATCCCCTCTCACTTTAAGACACCAATAAAAAAAACCTTGACATTTGTTTACAAAGGTTGTTTTAGTTTTTTGGTGTTCTTTACGAGACTTTCTGCTATATGTTCATTTACGTCTGGACGTTGAGGATTGTAAACATCGTGTCAGACACGTCAAAACTTTAAGAAAGTATTATACTTGTTATTGGTGTCAAGGCACTCTGCATTATTATTTTTATGAATATTAATTAGTTTATTTCACTGTTAGGAGTTGCCACAAATGATCCGTCAAAACATAGTTTGGTTCATATTATGTCTTACACGTTGACACTGCTATTTAAAGTTCCCATATGGAAGGCAGTTTGTGACAAAATCGAACGATATTGTTGACTTTGGCAGCTACTGGTTTGTTAAATATTGGTTGAAGTGCGACACCCGAGTTTTTATTTCTCTGGTTATAATTTTAGGGCGTGGGAAAAATGAAAGTTTCAAATCTATATAGAAAACCTTTAGACCCAGTATACCATGATATATCTGTCTAAATTACTCGAGAATAGAAATGAAATTTGGGTTGTCTTAATTGGATTAGATGGTTTAAGCTGGTATCTTAATGAATTATTGTATAATATGCCCTTTATTATTGATGTGGTCTGCTATCTCAAGTGTCGGTGTTAAATTCGGGGCTGGCGTAATGTGGGTATCTCTTTCCACTCTAATCGATTATTTGTCTATTCAGTAGCCTATAGGCGAGTCACAATCAGTTACGCTACCAACGTCTGAGCAACGCTTATTTTATATCGAATTCCTCACAAAACCTTTCAACTTTTCATAGTCTCGATTTTCCAGACGCTTTGTGGACAGTGTTATGATAACGGTATAATACTGACGTTAATGTCCATGACCGTTCTCCGTTACGGTAAATTACTTAATCAAGGCCATATAGGTCACAGGTGTAACAATTAGTAATTCAATTAAAATTACCATTGAAGTTCGTATTCTCATGTAGATTTATGATTTTATTTATCAGACTCGTTATGGATTAATCAAATTTTCATTTAAAATATATTTGAAAAGTTTTACAATTGAATAGTTCAAGATCGAGGGAGATTTTTTATTGAATATGTTTCTTTTGGTATTTACTTTCTTTTTGTTTAAAAAAATCAATTTTGTACAGCACTTGTAGCATTTTGTCTGAAGATTTAAGACTGGGTAAAAGAGACAATAAAGTCAGTCTAGTATAGATAACTGTTATCCAGTGATAAGATTGTGTGTGGAGGCATCTGTTGAACAATTGAACTTTTTGATTGACTATTTTAGCATGATTATTTTACCGTTAGTAACAGCTCACTGTAATTTAATGATACAAGTATGTGAAGTTTGGGTTCATGGGTTCATAAGCATTTCCAAAGAACAAAAACGACACAATATTGTTTTGGTTTTTTTTTTGGGGGGGGGGGGGTTACAAATCGCCGATATTCTATGTCAAATAACTATTTGCTGTTTTTAAATTGTTTATTGTGAACGTATCATTTCAACTTTGAGATTTTGGAGGGCATTAAGAGAGCGCGATTTTAGCGCGCCACTAATCGACATCTCGATCCATAAGCCTTGACCTCGCTCAGCCTCGACTTAAGAATCCGATTAGAAAGTTGTTTATTTTTAAAGACTTCCCAAAACTTTTAAATCTCTAAATTTTAACGACAAGCTTCCACACACAGCTTGTAAAATGTATATGTATAATGGTTAAGGGTTTATTTGTTCACCTCACTACAAGAGAGACCCCTACCTCTGTTAAATCCACAAAAACGGCACACATTTGCCTTTTAACAAACTAAATATCGCAATGTCTTTACTTTTCAGTTCGATCGGTTTCTGTACTCTAAGGGAGTCCATCCAGACCACGGTGGAAAGTCGTTTTGTTTCGTTAGTGACGGACCCAATCATATACGTCAGTGCTTCCACCCAGAAACGTGCAATAAAAACATTAACCTGCCAGCCTATTTTAACAAATATTATGACTTGAGAAAAGAATTTAAGAAATACTACAAAACAGACGTTATAAAGAATATCAAAGCTATGCTTGACTGTATCCTTTGAATTAAAAAAAATAATTGTTGGTCATCACAAAGATCAACCTGCATTCGAATTATCACATCAATATGGAAATGTTGTAGTAAGTTGAACATGTTTTATTCATCACATTACTTACATACATATACACCTATACCCTATCCTCTTACCCCAAATTATGTCCAATTAACCAAAATCTCTATACGTAAAGATCCAAATTTTCTATGTAAGCGAACGCTTTCTAATAACATATTAGGAGATGACTCTCTACTACTTAACATTGTAAGAAATCGGAAACTGTTTTTGCACCACACATGTATACATAAGCATATAATAAATAAGACATGACAGTTTTATGTCTCTACCCGAATGACACACTTCTACAATTCCTTTGATACAAATGTGAATAATGGAAATAGAACCAATATACTACATATGATCTGTAATAATAGAAATATATAGGTTTATTAGCTGTGGAACATTCAACTATACAAATGGCTACTATTTGTTCTGTGTATTATATTATGACTTCAATGGAATTCTCGACCTTGGTAATATACTATATGATTTACATGCATGACAAGTTGTATTATTCAATATATACATGGCTATTCAATTTGGTGTTAATTCAGACATATAATCTATGTTTTGTAGTTTCGAGTGTGACAATTTGTTCGTGTTCCTATTCTCGTTTTATATGATAAATTTTGTCCGACATTTTGATCAAAAATCCACATTTGCCAAGATATATTTTGGAAATTCATTTCGTGTGTATTCATTTGGATGGGGGGGGGGGGGGCGAATGGTTAACGCGTGCGTGTTGGATCCGAAACTCTGTCATCGAGTCAAGTGTCGTGGTTTTCGATTCCCCGCTTGTACGCCTGTCTAACCTCTTGGGTTTTCTCCAGGTTCTCCAGGTACTCCAGGGCCCTTATTCACGAAAACTTAAACTAAGATACAATCGAAATTTTAAGAAATACTGCAATTCGATTGGCTGACCAGTAAAATCAATTTGAATATATCCAATTTGCATATTGGTCAGCCAATCGAATTGCAGTATTTCTTAAAATTTCGATTGTATCTAAGTTTAAGTTTTCGTGAATAAGGGCCCAGTTTCCTTTCACTGCTAAAGACCCCCACGCTCAAGCAAACTCTTGCAATTCCTCTCACTGCTAAAGACCCCTACGCGCAAGCGTATTATTGAAGTGAAATAGAACCATATGTTAGTTTTTGTCGAGTGGGTGGGACCCCCCCCCCCCTCTCTCTCCCTCTCTCTCTCTCTCTCTCATTCGGATAGACTTTGTTGTATAAGTAGTGTTTCGGCGTTGATGTAAAACTATATATCTGCTGGACAACTGGGGCGCGACCTCTTAATTTTATCCGCTTCCTCTAATTGCAATTCCAACAGATACTGATGCCCAAGGTTCCAGGGAACTTCGTTAATCCATCCCATACTTGCTAGTTCAGCTGGTCTCGCACATGACAAATGAGAACCGATCTTGAAAAATCGGAAGGATTCAAAATTGTAAGGAGTTGTATTCTATATTTTATGTCATAAGTTCAAGATGGCCGCATGCATCTTGGGGTTTTGACGTACAAAAGAGCATGTTTACACAATAACATAAAATAAATGTCAGGCTTATAGATATAAATTTATTTACATACCTACTTAAACAAGATTCTATTTCAACTGTGGTTTTATATATATGTTCTATTCATGTATAGTCAGAGTTTATCTCGAGTTTATCTGTGGCAGCCAGAGAAGTTTGTTTGTTTGAGATACATACAAAAATCGTTAGCTATGTGTATTTCCCAAGTAAGTGATACGAGGTGTATCCAGTGTAAGCTTTGCCTATTTCTACGCACGTTATAAGTTACTTGAGCGAATTGCATTTCCCTCAACAGAATGTACATGGCATCATATTAATATGATAGATTACTGATGACCTATATTATATACTTATCTACTAGCCAGTAGCAAATTAAAATAATCCTCCACAGCGTAACCTTTTGAATATATGTATACGCAATGACACTTGAAAAGGAGTCCATGGTCCCCACATGACACCAACTAAGGTAGCCAGCGTGATCAGTAAACATCTAAAACAGAACCTGTTAAAATACATAGCTCATCACTGCTACATAGATGCATCTGTAGTATTGTCACTTCAATTGTAGGAAATGTGTATACCTACGATCGCTCAAGAAGGTTAAAACGTACTTAAGATTGTGTTTATTCAGGGTGGATTTACTGAAAATATACGCTCATTGGAGGGTAACATCCAACCAGGCACACAATGACAGTAATTAGATTTACTTAAATCACTTCAGTGATAAATTCATGGCCGAGAAAAGAAATATTCATGCCCCAGTTGAATTCTGATTATTTTTCCTTTAGTTCGTGTTCAGTTCATTCTCTACTGGTCAATAATTTTAATACCTACCTGTCAGATAATACCCAATAAAGTTTGATTATATATAGAACTGGATTATGTTATGTCCTAGATATTCAAATATATTCGGCATATTTCATATAATATTATTTTACGAGTAGGTCTATTCGTATTGTGGTATCATGTTAATTCATGCCTAAGACAGTGCTATTCTTTGGCTTGTATAATTAGCTGATAGAGAGTTTTTGGTCTGACATTTTTTGGACACCTCTTCTTGTTCCCGTTCTTCTTCTTGGGGGCGACGCTCTTAAAAAAAAAGCCTAAGGCTCCACAAATTCAAGTACGATTGACATGAAATTAGGCGTGCTTGTTCTTTGGACAATTGCACATTAATTTTTTATATAACGTCACAATTCCAAGATGGCGGCGGCGATGATGTCATGCTCAGTACCTGGTCTATATAGTATGCTCGTATACTTGTTTTCTAATAGTTTTACGCATAATCCATGTTAATACAAACTTGTAGATAGAAACCTGTAATTACTATCGATATGAAAGTATTAAATTTTAATATTAAAATAATTCAACATGGTTAAATAAAACACCCGCACTGCAAGATAAAGTTGTTAGGTATAACCTAGTTAGGTCAATCTTAAATTTAAAGATTATGTAAGATTTAGATAAAGAGCTGGCCGTTCTTGCTATAATGGTTCACAAATAGATAATTCAAACTTAAAATAGTGAAAATTTCATTCAAATTACTTTATTCGGGGCCAAGCTATCTATCACTATTTGTAGTTTTGACAAGACGTATGCATTGATTGTTTATTATCGTAACCACGGTACTGGCATATTCAAGTCTTAGCCTCGCTTCTCCATTTTTAAATTAAATCATTATATGGCCGAACCGTTCTAATCTAGTTAAAATCTCGAGCATCCGATGTCATCGAAAGTTGATTATGGTCTTGCCATGTTAATAAATGTCTAAGTAATAATTTATATAACATTTAAGACCTAAATAAAGACCTGCAAAGGCAAATTTAGCTCTTGAATAATGTATCTTTAAAACAGGATATATAAAAAAAATTTTAAGATGTTAAACATGACAGCTTGAGTCGGGGGGTTCAGACACAGTTGTGGATTTAGTTTCATTAAACATGAACAACTGTGTCAGTAAAATTATTTAGATTATTCACAATGTTGTATAGGCTTGCCTAAAAAGGGTAAATATTTACTTTCGAAAAACAAAACAGCGTACGAGCACGAAATAAAACTTTTTATGAATTTGAATAAATTACATTCATACGGATGAGAATATCGTTAAACTAGCTGACAACGTTTTGATGTAGCCCGACTGTTGCCAAAACCAATTACATTTTATGGGGTCTTTTGAAAGCAAAGTCAAGAGATCTTTATGGCTATGTCGTTTGCTAACTTTTTGCTGTTATTATTTGAAAGATGGTCCACCTGATGGATAAGCTGTCGAAAACTCTGTCCGGTAACAGATGCATGATGCATTTAAAATGTCGACGACGTGTGGTGATGGTCAGTAACCAAACACATGTTGCCACAATTTTTGTTGTATCGTAAGCTGTTACTCGTTAGTAGGCCCCAAGTTTCGTATTCATTAATTCATGGACAACTTTATTAGCATAACGTCGTTTTAACACCTTTTTTTTTAAAATTATGACTCGGATTTCGTTTGATGAAGCACTATCTTCAGCATTCAATGTAAATTTCTTTTCGTGTCAACGGTAACTTTTTTCAGAGGCAATTTTTTGTTTTCTGTTTTCAAGCTGAGTTATTTGGTACAAATGCAGTTAGTCAATTGAAATAAAATTTTCGGTTTTAAAACACAATAAAATCTATAGAGTTGGAGAAAGGCTTTAATTATTTAGTCGATTTCAAATGAAATCCTTTTAAAATGTTTTTGACGACATAGTTAGTCAATAATGCAAATTCCCTGATTACATAGTAAGCCGTTAATCAAAATATATGTTTATGGATATTGCTTCGAATGGAAACATTTCAAAACCATTACGAGTCTGATCACACCCAAGAGCTAGATTTGCCTATTGCATGTCTTTCTTTATGCCTTAAATGTTATATAAATTATTAATTGGACATTAATTAACTTACCAAGACCATAATCAACTGTCGATGTCATCGTATTGTCTAGATTTTCAACAGATTTGAATCCAATCTACTGTTCAACGGCGGTTGATGATTAACGGTAAAAATGGAAAATTGAGGCTTTGTTTATTATTGTAACAAGGGTAGCAATGAAAATCGAGGCTACAGTGTTTTTGAAATGAGAATTTCTGGACTCAGAGTGAAGTAATCGTACTGAAATTTTCAACATATGCCCTTTACATTATCTATTGTTTAACTATTATAGCGAGAACTACCAGCTCTTTATCTAATTTTCCATAATGCTGCTTTAAGATAAACAAAACTATTGCCACTTGAAAGATCACTGTGTAGATATACATGTATAGGATTATACTGTAGGCTATGTGTTTACATTTTCATACCGGGGGTGGCGGCGATGTTATCTACTGACCATGGTATTATTTAAATTCATTGACCGTGAAGCACAAAATGTGAAAAGGAATGACAAACA